GATAAAAAATGTAGGAAAAAGGGAGTGGAAATGTAAAAATTAGATACTTTCTAACTTTATATAAAGGTTACAATCTTTTTTGAAGTGAAAAGAAAGGAAAGAGTGGCAAAACAAATTGGGATAGTGGGTGTAATAAAGAATCATCTCAGATGATGTTTATTTATCCAAATTCAAGCAGAGTCCGAGTCTACCTTCTCAAGGTGAGAGTAAGGTCTGCGTACACTCTACCCTCTCCAGACCCCACTTATGGGATTATACTAGGTTTGTTATTGTTGTTGTTGTAAGCAGAGTCCGAGTAACCTGGGATTATTCAATGCCGGAATTGATAAGAAAGAAGGAAAGAGATTTCTGGTATTTGGCCATGAAATCACCAAGTAGGCATCTTCACAGCTCTTTGATTATCTTTATTTTATAATGATAATACATTCACTTTTCTAGTAGGACTATCTCAGAGTAGTGGCTAAGTGTATATTTCGCTTAGTTCAACCAACATTCAATGATTAAGCATTCTCCACTGGCCCAAAAAAAGAAAAAGAAAAGAGAAACTAATATGATTTTAGGATTTACACATTTTATTTGACCAAAGCATCCTTCTTAAATGTTTGCTTGTCTACTTGTCTCTTTGCCTTTTAAGGATAATAACTGCATCCTTCCATATTCAGTCTGTGGTACATTAGCAAAATAAGTTGTAATTCCTTGCACAGAAAATGAAAAAAAGGAATTGCTATTCACCATTTATAATTGCAGTAAGTTTCATGATTGCTTTACGAGGCTATGCAATAGTTAAAATCCTCATGCCTTTTTACTAGTATGTTTATATGATATTTGTTTTCCTTTCCACAGGCAATGCTTACAATTTTAGATAGCCGAGTGAATAAAGCTGGGCGATTAAAAGCATTGTATGTGAAGACTGAGAAAGGTGTCCTCTTTGAAGTAAAACCTCATGTTCGTATCCCAAGGACATTTAAGCGATTTGCTGGTATCATGTGTAAGTTAAATTACCTTGAGAAACATTTCTTCCCCATCTCTTTTCATGCAATTTCTGCTGCTTTCTGATGTTGGTTCAAATTCAGTGCAGCTGCTACAAAAGCTGAGCATAACTGCTGTTGGTAAGCGAGAGAAACTGTTACGTGTTATAAAAAACCCTGTTTCACAGTACCTACCCATTGACTGTCGGAAGATAGGTGAATAAGTTTCTGTTGTAGTTCTCCCTTCTCTAATAGAATGTACTTGACAATTGACTAATTTTTCCACTTCTCCTCTTATTCTTCAGGCTTCTCTCATAGTTCTGAGAAACTGGTGGATATTCAAGACTACGTTAATGGAATTAACAATGAAACGAACCTTGTTTTTGTGGTATGTTCTGGTGTAATTTTCTATAGAAGTCTGATTTTGTTGGAATTTGTAGTTAACTTGGTAAGTTGATATCTGACATCTACAGGTTGGGGCGATGGCCCATGGAAAAATTGAAAAAGATTATGTCGAAGATTATATATCAGGTAAGCTAATTCTTCCTCTTTTCCTTTTTATTTATTATCAAATATTAGTTAGAGTGCTATAATTTGATTTCCGCCTGTCTTTGTTATACATGGTTAGTCTGTAAAGCTTAGCAATGTGGACATCTGTTACTTGTGTCTTTGTATGTAAAATTGGTGACACTATGATGTTATTGATCTCCTGAAGGTTAGAAGTACTAATCAAGAGCCACTTATGATTTTGGCAAATAAAAATCAAATAGGTTATCGCTGCTGTAGATATTGGTTAGAATGTTAAACACGGCAAGAGAGAATGTTTTCTCGCTATGAGTTGTTTGTTTCAGTATCCGCCTGTCAATTTGGAAGCAATAGGGGTTCCAAACTGCACCTTAACATACTTGATGCTTCTAAACCCCAATGTCAAGTACCACACCATAGCGTACTCATACTGGCATACTGATAAGTCTTACCAGTTAGAATCTAGGCACATTTATTTTTACCTTCTGTAAATGCGGCTTTAGCTTCTTTTATGATAAGCGAGGTATGCGTATATGTTATGTAAACTCTAAACCGTGTCCATGCTGTTTTCCCTAAAGGAAAACATAGGCACCCAAGGGTGTGGCTTAGTGGTCAATGAAGTGGGTGAGAACCATAAGGTATCATGTTCAAATCCCAGCGGAGACAAAAAACACTAGTGATTTTTTCCCATCTATCCAAGCCTTAGTGGATGGAGTTACCTGGTACCTATTGCTGGTGGGAGGTGGCAGGTATCCCGTGGAATTAGTCGAGGTGCTCGCAAGCTGGCCTGGACACCACGGTTATCAAAAAAAAAAACAACTAAAATCATGGCAAACTATTTTGTTTTTATGGAGCTGTGCCTTGTCTAATTATCTGATGTATCTTTCAGTTTCCGATTATCCACTGAGTGCTGCATACTGCATATCCATGGTCACGAATGCTGTGGAGCGCAAATGGAAGATTTTGTAGAGTTGTAGCTTACCTTGGTTTTTGTTGCGACATTACTTTCTAGAATGTTATCCTTTCCAATACTCAGTCTTCATTGTCATTCTAATTCAGCATTATTCTATTGTGAAATATATTTTTGCTTCTTTTTCTTTTTTTTTCAGTTATATTAAGTTTCATATGCAATGAAGCATTTGTTGTTAATCCAACGGTTCTCCAGTTAATGATCTAAGGGAGTTGATCTTTTCTTTAAACATTAAAAAGAACGTGAGTTTTGACTTCTCTTAGTATGAATTGGTCTTTTTCAAAGGTTGAAGCAGTATATGAAATGGAAGTCACTGAATACAAATAGAAAACGTGGAGAATGATTTGCACCTTTTGTAGAGTTGGATAATTTTATATAGCAACTTTTCCTTATTGAAAACGTTAACACGTTCGAAGCATTAAAAGTTACGAATATATATACACACACACATACATACGATAGTTGTCCAAAAGTGGAGTAGGTGAGCAATTTATCAAATCCAGCATGACTATGAAGACTGAAAATCTGAGAAAACCTTTTAGGTAGGAAACTTCCTGCTTATTTATAAAAAACTTGTGTTCCTTGGGCAAAGAAAACAACAACAACAACAACAACCACCCAATAAAATCATACAAAGTGGGATCTGGGGAGGGTAGTGTGTACGCAGACCTTACCCCTACCCCGATGGCCGATGGAGCAGAAAGGCTTTTTCCGATAGACCTTTAGCTCAGGAAGACGGAAATAAAACAAGAAGAAACAATTCATTAGAAACGTTAGCATAAACCGTAGAAATAGTAACAGAAGCATAAAAATCAAAAGATAAATGACATGCAATAACGGTAATGAGTATTTAAGGCCCGAGGCTAAGATAAACAGAAAGGATAGTGAGGATTCAACATAAACTACAAGTCATCTAAGATCAACCCTATCCAACCCCGCCTCACCCCGGGTATGAAGTAGGAAAAACTCTACTACCTCCTAGTCTACAACCCTAATGTTTGACCTCCAGACCTTCTTATCAAGGGTCATGTCCTCGGAAATCTGCAGTCGTGACATGTCCTGTCTGATCACCTCCCCTCAATACTTCTTAAGCCGCCCTCTACCTCTTCTCATACCTACCACAGTCAACCGCTCACACCTCCTCACCGGAGCATCAAGGCTTCTTCTTTGCACGTGCCCGAAACAAAAATAAATATCAAAATTAGTTGATTCCTTCTCATACATTCAAGCCTTAGTGGATAGAGTTATCGATAATAATTACCCAATGGCCGTGGAATTGTTGGAAGTGTGCACAAACTAGTTTGGACGCCAGGATATCGGGAAAAAATTGACAAATTTAAAAGGTTAGCTTAGAGTTTGCCATTCCACACCACTAAATGAGGATCACTTTGCAATTCCTTCAAAATTCCAAAATTTTCATTCAGAAAATATGGAGGGAACAAATGGCAAAAAAGCACAACTGAGCTGCTCCCATTTGCATAATCTTTGCTTAACACTTTACTTTCTTAAGTTAATTTTATAGTGAAAAATTAGTCTCGAGGCACTTCTCATTGAATTAAAATGGTAGAGTGGTAAGTGAAAGTGCGGTTCATAATCTTCCTTTTCCTCTATCTTTGTAAAAATCAGAAAATAAATGCTGTATTTTCTTGATATAACAAAAAACATCTTAAACACATTTTTTCTTTACAAATTTATTAAAATTTCCTGAAGACTGCTCATTCTAAAGTAAATCCTTCCTTGGTCCCTAAAAGAAAGAAAAAAAATTGGAGTACAAGGTTCAACACAACTAAGTTTTGGTACGAAATTTGATAATTTTTAAAATGTTTATAAAATAAATGCATCTTTAAAACTACAAAAAAGTACCATAAATAATAAACTTCATTCTTAAAAGGAAAAATTTAAGAAATACTGAAAATATGTGATCAAGAAAAATTATTTGACTCTTTCTATTATGGTCAATCAAGTAGTACAATAAAATAATAACAGTGCCCCTCTCTTTTAAATGGGTAAAAGCACTAGCATTTTTGCCAATAAATTAAACAATATAATAAAATAAAAAGAAGAAAAAGAGAAGGGAAAGTTTTTTCCCGTCCAATTAGAAAAGTAAAAAGTTGACACGAGGCAAAAACAACAACAACAACAACAACGACATAGTATAATCCCACAAGTAGGGTCTGGGGAGGGTAATATGTACGCAGACCTTATCCCTACCCCGAAGGGTAGAGAGACTGTTTCCAGGAGACCCTCGGCTCAAAAAAATAATAGGAGATGATATATTAGTACCATAAAAATGCGTAATAAAAATAACAACAACAATATATAAGAGATATGAAATATGAAATACAGGATACAAAATACGAATATTTAATTTCTTTTGAATTTTCTTTTTAAATTATTAATTTTATTTTGTGAGAAAGAGAAAAGTCACCTGAGCTAAGAGATCTCCTGAGTTAACGGAACGCGCTCAGTTGCGCAGAGGAGACACAACGGTACACGGAATTGGAGACTAACTGAAAATCCAAATACCTAACGAATTCTATACAATTTCCTTCCATTTTCATAACTGCTAATAATAATGACAAATAATTAAATAATCATTGTCATTAGTCTTCTCTAAAGAACGTGCTCACTTTATGCCTTTCCATATCTATACAGCTTCTTTCTCCGTTTTTGTTTTGGCGAAATTCTGAACTTTTGTCGTTGACGGGTATGTATTTTTACGTTCTTCTTCATTATGCTGATTCTTCACGTATTTTTCTGTTCTTGAATTTGCATGTGATCGTTATTCATATATAGAGTTGATTCTTGTATAACGAAGAATATTTTAAGATTAAGTTATGGTTAATTAAAGCTTGAAAATTGAACAAGGGTTCTTTCTATCATGAATTTTGGGCAAATTCTTCTTATCCAATAGGTTGACTAAGTTGCATTACAATGGTTGATGGCCTTAATTTGCATGCGTAATTGCCACCTTATTCTGAAGTGTGTCTCTTTCATATTCTCAATCTTGGTTCTCATATTTCTTTGTTCCTAGCTTTTTCTAAAAGAAAATCCTTCTGATAGTCTAGTTGGTTTCTCATTATTGGTCTCATTGCTGTTCCATATAGAAGGCAGAAAGTGGTTGCTTCTCATCATTTGTCACCTTCTTTTCTTGCTCTTTTTTTTTTTCCAGTTTCCTTTTGAATGATCAATTCATACCCTGTAGACTAAAACTACTAATTTTAGGACTAAAGACCGTATGAGTATATATAAGCCTTGATGGGCAGAGTTACCTGATACCTGTGCTAGTGGGAGGTAGCAGTTACCCCCTAGAATTAGTCGATGTGCGTGCAAGTTGGCCCAGGCACCATGGTTATCAATAAAAAAAAGATGTAATTCCCC